TCTGTGTCCTGAATGATGGGATTGCAGCTAAGCATCACAACACCTGGTTATTGTAGTTCTTGCCAGCATTTTTCTGTACTGTACATGAAGATAACACTCAGAGGGCGAGAGGAAGAGAGGGCACCGAGTGAGCCTTGTGACAGCTCTCTTTCACTTTGTACTACAGGAAGCAGTCGTTCTCCTGAGGAGAAAGCATGCTCTGGGCATTGTTTGCTTTTCTGTCGCTGTGATAAAAAAGCTTCGCTTTTCAAAAACAAAGCCATAAGTCCACAGATTTAAGAAGCATGTTTTATCCCAACCAATATGAATTAGAAAGAAAAAGGGCTGGCAATATGGCTTGATGGGTAATAGTACTTATTCCAAGAGCCAGATGACCTCAGTTTGATCCCTGGAACCCAGGTTGGAGGGACAGAATTGACCCCGAAAAGTTGTCTTGATCTCTAGATACGTGCAGTGGCATATATGCACCTGTGCTGACGCACAATAATGATAAAGCTTATTTGTTTATTTTTTAAATTGAGGGAAAGTTTTTCTATATAGCCCTGGCTGTCCTGGAACTCACTATATAGACCAGGCTGGCCTGGAACTCACTATATAGACCAGGCTGGCCTGGAACTCACTATATAGACCAGGCTGGCCTGGAACTCACTATATAGACCAGGCTGGCCTGGAACTCACAGTACCTGCCTCTGCATGGGCAACCACCATACTTGTAATTGATAAATTTTAAACAGTTAAAGTATAAAAAGGTAAGAGCTGATTTGTGGCTGGCTAGATGATGAGTTGCAGTTTAGATTCTAATTCTCTCTTGGCAACAGTCTCTGTCACAGAGCGTTCTGTTGGACTCTTTCATGGAACTATAGGATCCCATGGGCAACGCCTGTGTTTGAATCTTACCCTCCGTCTTCCAATTGTCACCCTGGGAAATAAAGAAGCAGAACTTGAGGCTCCTTCCATCCATTCACTGCTGGGTAAGCGTGTAGAAGGTATTGGCGGTATCTTGTTGTTCTTTACAGTCTGGAAGGAATCTCAAGGACAATAGTCAGAATGGGAAGATCAACCTGCTGTGTTGATATACTAAGTCCAAAGCTGGTTTATGGACAAGGTTGCTCTCAGTAGTAACCAGCAGGTCACCTATGGATAGATAGTTAAGCATCTCTATGGAAGACAGGGTGTAGAGACCACGCATGGTTTTTGACACCCGTAATCCCAGGATTTGAAAATCTGAGGTAAGATGATCACTGTAAGTTTAAGACCAGCTTGTACCACTTAGATAATACTTATATTAAAACAAAACAAAAGAAAATAAAACAGTAAAGTTTGAAAAAGAAATATTCAATAATTGGGCCTGCAAGATGGCACATCGGCTAAAGGCACCTGTGAATTTAAACAGATTAAACATATTGAAGACAGAATTAGTGAATTGTAATATGTATCTGAAAAATTATTCAGAGGTTGAACTGAGAGATGGGAATAGAGTTGAGATTAAGCACAAATAGAGATGACAATAAAAGGGGTGTCAGTGGGAAGCGGGGTCCCACTGTGAAACTAGGGACGAGGGAGGCGCGTCATTGCTCAAAGCATTATACATTTCAAACTTTTCAAAAACTTGTAAGACTTAGGTCCATAGATTTAAGAAGTATGCTGTACCCACTGGGCAGTGGTGGTGTGTTCACAGCTTCCGAGGAGGAGGGGAACAGTGCACAAATCCCCGGCAGAGAGCTGCCATCCTCCTCCTTGGGAGGTCTGGAACCCAAGCCCAGGGAGTGGCTGCCTGGGCTTTGGGCGTGTCTTCCCACTTCAGTTAACCTAAAGACACTCTCACAGTATGCCAGGGCCTTGTCTCCTACGAGATTCTAGATCCTGCTAGGAAACAGTACTAATCACCACACTGTCCTCCCATTTCTAATTTTTAAAAAAGTTTTATTTTCTGTGTATGAGTGTTTTGTCTGTACTGTGTGTATTCCTGGTGCCTTCAGATGTCAGAAGAGGACAAGGACATAGGACCCCTCAGAGGTGGAGTTACATACGGTTGTGAGCCACCATGTAGGTGCAGGAGCTCCAACCCAGGTCCCCTGCAAGAGCAACTAGTGCTCTCTTAACCACTGAGCCGTCTCTTCAGCTTCTCTTTCTAGAATTTTGTTCTTGTTGTTTGTTTTTTGAGATAGGTTCTCTCTAAGTAGCTTTGGCTGTCCTGGAACTTGCTTGCTGTATAGACCAGGCTGACCTTGAACTCAGAGAGAGCTACCTGCCTCTGCCTTCCAAATGCTGTGATTAAATTTATGTACCACCCTGCCGTTTCTAAAATTGTGTTATTTATAAATGTTATACTGGAGCTAGGCATGGTGGTGTACTTTCAAGAGGCTGAAGTGGGAGAACTGTCTGAGCCCCAGAGTTTTATGATCAGTCTGAGCACATAGTGAGACCGCATCTCAAACAAATGAAACAAGCAAAACAAAACCCACCAAGTTGTTAATGGGATCATAGGATGCAACCTTTTGGAAATGATTTACATTGCCCAGTAATAATTTTTTAGACACTTAACAGGTTTTTTCACTCTCCAGTATTTCCTCTGTGGAGCCAGGACTATAACTCAGCAGAGTGCTTGCCTAACATGAACAAAAGCCCTGGATTTGAGCTCCACTCAGCTGCAGGGAGGCAGAGGCAGAAAGACTAGGAGGAGGTCAAGGTGATTCTCAGCTACACAGTAAGTTTGAGGTTATTCTGGCCAACAGGACACTTTATCTCAAAACCAAATTTTTCCCAATCCTAAAACATTTATTCCACTTACATGAACTTAACACATATGTTCTTACAGTGGTGCTTGGAGTTGTACATAAAATTTTCATATGACATTAAACAAAGCTAGCCATCACTTAAAGTTATTTCCTTGTTAACTGTTTCTACAGCATATGCACATTAGGCAAGAAAATAAGGAAAGATTCATAAATTTTTATGTCTTTCTTGCATGGGACCATGTTAGTCTGGCTTTAGTATATGTGTTACTAAAGTGAACATAGATAGGTCTTTTTAGTACTCATTTTCTCATGAGGATTAGGGTTATAGCTTGCATTTTGAAGGCTGTCCAAGTGGATCCCAGCTTTCCCCACCCCCTTTTTGGTTAGCACACAAAGAAATTAATTTTATTATTTGATTCTAGCTTTGTTGTTGTTTTTATGGTTTTGTTTTGTTTTGTTTGATACAGGATCTCACTATGTAGTGCTGGCTGTCCTAGAACTCACTATGTAGACCAGACTAGCGTCAAACTCACAGAGATCTGCTTGGCTCTGTCTCCTGAGTACTGAGATAAAAGGTGTGCTCTGATGTTATTCTAGCTTTTGACTGTTACAAATTAAGCTGCTACCAACATTTATGTGAAGGTTTTTGTGTGAATTTAAGTTTTTGTTTTCCTAGGATCAATGTCCAGGGCCAAGGCAGTTTTATTTGTATGGATTTCTGTTTACTGCTGCATTATAGAGGTTGCAGAATCCCTTAAGGTTTGTATGTTTATCATGCTTAGATATTTTCTTTCTTACCTGTATATGACAGTGCCTCTTAATGTTTTGTTTTCTTTTTTTGCCTTAAAGTTACTTTATCAAATAGTAACATTGAATCTCAGCTTTTGGTTTATATTTGCCCACTGTGTGTTTCAGTTGTCATATTTCTGCGTCTTTCAGTTATTAAAATATGTATCTTTTGTTTGTTTGTTTATTTGTTTGTTTAAGACAAGGTCTCTCCGTGTATCCCTGCTGTTGTGGAACTCATTCTGAGGTCTAGGCTGCTTGAACTCAGAAATCTACTTTCCTCTGCCTCCCAAAAGTGGTACCAAAAGTGTGTGCCACAACACCTGGCTAAAGTATATTGTTTATAGTGAACATTGTTGAAATGTTTATATCCAGTCTGAGAGACTTTTCCATCGGTAAGTTTATCTCATATATGGTCACTGATGTTAGTGCTGTCTGTCATTTTATTTACTGTTTCCTACTGACAGATTCTCCAGTTTTGTTTTCTTTTCTTATTTCCTATTTTTGTTGACAAGATTATGGGAGATGTTTCATTTTGGCCTTTTTATTGCTATTTTCTTAGTTATGTATTCCCTTTGTCATGGATACTAAGAGATTTAGTAATAGATATAATTCCACTTACATGGTTTTTATTTATTCTCTTTTCCCAATAACATAGCCCCCTTTCATTGCCATATCAACAGGAAGAGAAATGCCTATTGAACATAATTCTGGCCACATAAATGGCTATGTTCAAAGGAATGAATTTTTAGTTGATAGAGTAATAAAATGTTATTGGGTGTGGTAGTATGCATCTGCAATCCTAGACATTTTTGGAGGCTGAAGCAGAAGAATTTTGAGTTTGAGGCCAACCTTGGCTATACTGTATAAACCAATCTTTAAAAAAAAAAAAAAAGACCAAAACCAAACAAAATATAGATTACTTGAGATGAACATGATGGGCCAGTTGTTATTGTTTTGCTGGTTTTAAGTCGTGTGGATTTTGTTGTCGTTTCTCCTCCAACCTCTCTTTTTCTGAGACAAGCTCTCTGTATGTAGCCTTGGGATAGAACTGGCCATGAGGATTAGGCTAGTCACTCTGTAGACCAGGCTGACCTTGAACTCAGAGATCCACCTGCCTCTGCCTCCCAAGTACTGGGATTAAAGGCGTGTGCCACCACCGCCAGGCTCAGGCCCATAGTTAGTTTTATGTCACCTTGACATAAGCTAGAGGCATTTGAGAAGAGGGAACTTCAATTGAGAAAATGCTTCCACCAGACTGGCCTGTGGGGCATTGTTTTGATTGATGTGGGAGGGCCCAGCTCCCTGTGGGCTGGTGGTTCTGGGTGCTATAAGAAAACAGGTTGAGCAAGCCATGAGGAGCACGCCACTAAAGAGCGGTCCAGCACAGCCTTCAGCTTCAGTTCCTGCCTTGAGTTCTTGCCCTGACTTCCTTTAATGATAGATTATGATATGGAAGTATAATCGAAAATAAACGTGCCCGCTTCGGCAGCTCATATTCTAAACTTGGAGCGGCACAGAGAAGATTAGCATGGCCCTGTGCACGGATGACACGCAAATTCGTGAAGCGTTCCATATTTAAAACAAAGAAGAAGAAAATAAACTCTTGCCACTCTAATTTGCTTATGGTCATGGTGTTTTGTCACAACAGTAGAAACTCTAAGATGGACTGGTACCAGGCCATGGAGTATTGCAGTGACAGTCCTGACCATGTGTTTTTGAGAGATTTGAACTTTGGGTTGTGTATTAGATGGTTTTGTGTGTCAACTTGAAACAAGTTAGAGTTGTCAGAGAGGAAGGAACTTCAGTTGAGAAACTGTCTCTATGAGATCCAGCTGTAAAGCATTTTCTTAGAACTATTGATCAATAGGGGAGGGCCCAGCACATGGTGGGTGGTGCCATACTAAGTCTGGTGTCCAATTCTATAAGAAAGCAAGCTGAGCAAGCCATGGGAAACAGGTCAGTAAGCAGCATCCCTCCATGGCCTCTGCACTAGCTCCCTCCTCTAGGTTCCAACCCTGCTTGAGTTCCAGTTCTAACTTCCTCCAGTGAGGACTATGATCTGGAAGTGTAAGCCAAATAAACCCTTTCCCCTCCAACTCACTTTTTGGTCATGGTGTTTCATCACAGCAATAGAAACCCTAAGGCAGGCTGGAAAGGCTGTCGAGTTCTCAGTGCTCTGTGGGTTGTTCTCCAGGAACTCAGAAGATAATGCCGAGAGTGATCACTACCAGTGACGTGGCCTGCTTTGTGGGGTTTCAGAGGGAAGCAGAGACTCAAGGCCATTTATGTAATGTTTCGGATTAAGAATCTGTGGTTCTGGTCAGCAGGTGCTAAAGAATTGGCTATAATTAACAAGAGACCTTACTTTGAAATGAAACCTTTGTTTTGATGGTAGAAATTGATGCTGGTTAGCCAGAGCTGAGAAGTTAGTGGTGATTAAGAAGAGACCAGTATCTGGGTAGTGGTAGTGCACACCTTTAATCCCAGCACTCGGGAGGTAGAGGCAGGTGGATCTCTCTGAGTTCAAGGTCAGTCTGGTCTACAGAACAAGTTCCAGGACAGCCAAGATATACAGAGAAACCCTGTCTCAAAAAACCAGAAGGGAGAAAGAAGGAAAGGAAGGAAGGAAGGAAGAAAGAGAAAAAGAAAGAAAGAAAAAGCCTGGCAGTGGTGGCTCACACCTTTAATCCCAGTACTTGGGAGGCAGAGGCAGGCGGATTTCTGAGTTAGAGGCCAGCCTGGTCTACAGAGTGAGTTCCAGGACAGCCAGGGCTACACAGAAAAACCCTGTCTCGAAAAAGAAAGAAAGAAACAAAGGAAGAAAGAAAGAAAAAAAGAAAGAAAGGAAGGGAGGAAAAAGAAACAGAGAGAGGAAAGAAGGAAGGAAGGAGAAGAGAGGAGAAGAGAAAAGAGACCAGTAGCATTTAGAATTGTAAATCTGAGAGTTTTTTCCTGAATGTCATCATTCAGACACTGGTATAGAGAGAGCTGAGGCTGTGCCTGGGCACATAAGAAAACAAACCGAGTAAACCAGCATGGAGTGAGCCAATAAGCAATGTTTCTCTGTGGCTCCTGCATCAGTTCCTGCCCTGACTTCTAATGGACTGTAACCTGGAAATGAAATCTGAAAAAGACCCTTTTCTTCCAAAATTATGTATGATCATGGTGCTGTATCACAGCAGTAGAAACTCTAACTAACACTCAGGTAAATAATCCTAGCCTTTATGTTACCCCCAGATTCCCTCCCGTCATAGTGTGTTATTCTCTGCCTTATCCCTGGCCCTGAGCAGCCTCTGCTCTCCTTGCCTTTGGTCTGCTTTATACTTTCTGACTTCCATATAAATGGAGCTGTTGGCCTTCTTGCCCTGTCACTCCCTGTGCTATGCTTGTTCTATGCAGGGAGAAAGGGTCTGTTATATGGGGAGGTGACTCACCTGTTTCCTGTGTGTAATGACTTGTGACTCAGGTGGCTCAGTTTTGTATAAATGTAGGATTTAAATTTTCTTATGTTGGCCCTGAGAGTAGAACTGGTCAATCACATGGTAAGAGTATGCCTAACTTTATAAAGAGCTGTCAGATTCCTTTCAAAGTGGTTGTGCCACATTGGTGTTCCCTTCCTGGAAGTGGCTAGGAGTCAGTTGTTGAACATCTCATCAGCTCCTGGGTGGCTTTGTGATGGCAGCTGTAGAAGGTATATGTGGACCCTCACTGCAGTCACTGTTGACTGATAGTGGTGACCCTAGTGTAATCTACTTACTGGCTGGCATTTCGTTTTGAGATAGGATCTTACTCTGTTGCCAAGGATGGCTTCAAATTCATGGTCATCCTGCCTCAGCATCCCAAATTCTGGGATAAAAGGTGCAAATTAGCATCTGTATCTTTATATCTTTTTTTTTTTTAAAGATTTATTTATTTTATGTATATGAGTACCCTGTCATTACCTTCAAACCCACCAGAAGAGGGCATCAGATCCCATTACAGATGGTTGTAAGCCATCATGTGGTTGCTGGGAATTGAACTCGGGACCTCTGGAAAAGCAATCAGTGCTCTTAACTGCTGAGCCGTCTCTCCAGCCCTCTTTATACCTTTTAAAATGAAGAATCTCTGTTTTGTTTGTTTGTTTTTTGAGACAGGGTTTCTCTGTGTAATAGTCCTAGCTGTCCTGGAACTCTCTCTATAGACCAGGCTGGTTTCTAACTCACAGAGATTTACCTGTCTCTGACTCCTGAGTGCTTGAATCAAAGGCATGCTTTACCACTGCTCGGCTATGAATAATGTTTAGCATGTCTTATGAACTTCCAAGTTTTGTTTTATTTTTTTTTAAAACACTTTGTCACATTATTTTTTGTTACTGATTTGAGGTAGTCTCACCATGATGTCTTGCTAATCTGGAACTCCTTATGAAGATCAGGCTGGCCTTGAACTCACAGAGATCCATCTGCCTTTGCCTCCCAAGCGCTGGGATTAAAGACATTCACTACTGTGTCTGGAGAATATTACATTTATTATGTTCTCTCTCTCAGTGAGAGTGTGTGTGTGTGTGTGTGTGTGTGTGTGTGTGTGTATGCTCTTGTGCATGTCCTTTCAAGTACTTGCTTTGATTTGCATACAGCTATCAGAGGACAATTTATTGGAATGACCCTCTCTTTTTACTGTACAGGGTCCAGAGATTAAATTCACATTGTCCAGTGTGGTGACGCCTTTAGTTACTCAGTCATCTTGCTATGGCCTTTCCTTTCTACCTCCTGCCTCTGTAATGCTGGGAAACAAACCTAAAGGCCTTTTATTTGGTGTTACCACTGTGCTATATCCCCAGCCTCCAAAACACTGTCCTCTAGAATTTCAAGTTGTAGATTTTATGATTAAACCTGTGATGTATATCATGCTAATTTGGGGTCTGGTGTGAAGTAAGGATTGAGCTTCAGGGTTTTTTTTTAATGTATATTTTGTTTTCTGGCATAATATGTTGAAAAAGGCTACACACATACACACATACTTTTCTCCATTTTTTTGATTTTGTACATTTATTGAAGATCAACTGAATATATGTTGGTGTCAGAGGCCGCTGTGTTAGGACTTCACAGGTAGCTCAGATTCACAAACAAACAAACAAACAAACAGAAGAACTGCAGCCAGCTGTTTAGTTTTTTTCATTTAGGGTTTATTTTAGCACCAGGTGTGGTGAACACACATTTTTATTCTCAGCATTTGGGGGGAAAGGCAGATGTCCCTCTGTGAGTTTGAGGTCAGTCTGGTCTACAGAATGAGTTCCAGGCCAACTAGAGCCACACAGTAAAATTCTGTCTCAAAGAATTATTATAGATAATCATTTTTTGCCTATATGCATGTCTGTATACTATGTATGTCCAGTGGCTATACATGTCAGAAAATGGCATTATTTCCCCTGTGACTGGAGTTACAGACTGGTGTGAGTCATAGTTTGGGTACTAGAAACTGATCTCCAGAGCCTCTGGTCAGCAGCTAGGACTCTTAACTACTGAGCCATCTCTTTAGCCACAGTCTTTTAGATTTTTTTAAAAGTAAAAATACTAAGTAAGATAAGCCCCTCAGATTTTATTATAATTTTTTAAATAACTTCCTATGACATTAAAAAAAATTGATAATTTAGACCAGTGAGATGGCTTGCTGGGTTAGGGCTGATGATTTAAGCTCAGGCCGTGGAACCCACATGATGGAAAGTAAGAACTGACTCCCACAGGTTGTCCTCTGACCTCCACATGTACACTTTACTGGGTGAGTGTGTGCATCCATGTACACATACACATAAATAAATGAAAATAAGAATAATTTTAAAAGATCTATCACTTGAAGATAAGCTTTAGCTTTGTTGAAGATGAAGCTTCATGTTTTCTTTTTGTTATAAGAACAGTAAAAACTGTTTAGCTAACTTGCTGTAACCTGCACACTGACAGTGAGCCTCGTCTGGGTGTGACAGCACAAGCTGGAAGGAGGGCTGGGAGGCAGTACACTGAGGGGCTAGATGGCAGATGACCACAGAAAATGGCAGGATCAAGCAAAAAGTGGTGTCTTTTGTTTGGCTTCCAAGATATAGGCTCTGAGAGTATACCAGGAATACATGTCCAGTGTTCACTCAGGAGGGATTAGACACTGGGAGGATGGGTTTCTGGTTTGAGTTAACCTTTTCAGGATGGAGAGACATTCCTGGTGCTGATACTTGGGAGACAGATGTGTGGGCCTTACAGAGCCATGATCAAAATGAGAGCCCCTAGGACCTAAGCACTGTAGGTGGGGGAGAAGGTAGGTCAGATACGGGGAACACAGAGTCTGTGGGTCACAGAGGACAGGGACCCCAGGGTTGCTTGTGTGTACCTTGGGGATGAGCCTCTTGGACTTTAGTATAGCATGGCTGAGAGTGGGAGGAGTGAGTGTCTTTTGTCCTTGCTTGCAGCTCTGTGACCGCCATCATGTTCTGGAAATTTGACTTGAACACCACGTCCCACGTTGACAAGCTCCTTGACAAGGAACATGTGACACTGCAGGAGTTAATGGATGAAGATGACATCTTGCAAGAGTGTAAGGCTCAGAACCAGAAGCTGC